GTGTGCAGTGTGCATTCAGGGAACGTATATCTGGTATGCGGTGTACGTTCAGGGAACGTACATCCAGTGTGCAGTGTACATTCAGGGAACGTATATCTGGTGTGCAGTGTACATTCAGGGAACGTACATCCAGTGTGCAGTGTGCATTCAGGGAACATATATCTGGTGTGCAGTGTATGTTCAGGGAACGTACATCCAGTGTGCAGTGTGCAGTCAGGGAACGTATATCTGGTGTGCAGTGTGCAGTGTGCAGTGTGCATTCAGGGAACGTACATCCAGTGTGTAGTATACGTTCAGAGAATGTATATCTGGTGTGCAGTGTGCAGTGTGCATTCAGGGAATGTACATCCACGTGCAGTGTACCTTCAGGGAAACTACAAAATGCTCAGTGCACATGCAACGAGCGTGCATCAGACATGCAGTCGTTTTCCAGGAGGTACGGGCAGAAGGCAGGGTACATGCACAGCGCTCACTGATTCTACAGTGTGTCCTGTGTCTGTCCCTTCCACTCTTAAATCCATCCCTCCAACAAATCCACCCCTCTCAGAGTCAAACCCTGCCTTGAAAGACTTCACGTTTATCTGCCCTGTGCGCAGAGGAAATGGACTACAAAGGCTACAGAACGTGTGGCCACTAAAAACCTTGCAGAGGTTCTTGTAAACTGCTAATCTTTGTGCCCACCCCAAATTTAGCAGTAACTATGGTGGTAACTACAGTGTGCTGGGCTGGTGTCTTGGTTTGCCATTAGAGACTCTATCCATTGCTTGATCATGTCGAGCAGTTTTTGGGCTCCACCCCAGCAATGGCAGCAATGACCCCACAAATGCTGATTGTAAAGCGCTTTAAGATCCTTTTGGGGTAAAAGATGGATGGTTAAGATATGAATGTGTTAGACCTGTATCTGTGAGGGGTGTTTTAGGAACAGTGATCTTTGGGGAGAAGAAGGAACTAACTGACCTGCTGGAGTCCCCTTCTGTCCTCTACAGCTCTGACGCCTGGCTAGCCAGGCATGAATCTATTAATGGGCTTATGCTGTCTTAAATCCCCAGGTCCAATAATGGAAATAATAAAAAAAAAAACTATGTTGTTTTTTTTCTCCTTTGGGGGAGATTGTCACAGTAATAACAGTTGTTTCCTGTGCTATTATAATACAAATTACACGAAATGGAACTGTTGAGGTATAAATGAAGATGGGCTTTGTTCCCCGCATTTGAAATGTAGTTGGTGAATCTCTGGATTATGTGTTATCTGGAATAAAGTCTGGCTCGGTCCCTGTTGCTGCTTTCATTCTTGGGACAAAGATACTCTAGCGTAGTCGTCCACGTAGTCTGAGCTGGAAGTGAGGTGCTCCAACCACGTGATGAAAGAGAGAGCATGTCTCCTGAAACTAGGAGTACACTTGCATTTAATGTGGACGTTAAATATTTGAGCAACCTTGCCAGTATCCATCAGGAAATGAAACAGGGGGGTAAGTGTGGAGAGGAGAGGAGGGTGGTGGCAGGGTCGGGTTCTGGGACTACATCATGTCAAGTGCCTCCAGGAGGTGTCTGCTGTCCCTGCCATCCAGCTTGTGTGTGTCACAGATTTGGGTGCTGGGACACTCTGCTATCCAAGCAAATCCCACCCCCACCCCCCTCTCCGACGTCCTTTTGCTCACTGAAGAGTGGTCTGAGCACTTTTAATGCCAAAGGCCATGCATTTTCTTCCCAGGGGTATGTGTCCAGGGCTTAACTCGAGCTTGCATGGTGGGAGCTGCTGAGTTCATCTGCAGACAGCACGTGGCTGTTTGCTGCATGGAGAATTTCCCTCCACAGCTGGTGACTGGGTCCTGCTGTCTGCTAGAAGTCACTGCCAGCCACTGAAGAGAGGCAAATCTGGGGCTCAGGGGCTCAGGACTCAGCACCCACCTCCTCCTGCAGCTCACCAGGTCATCCTTTGGTTTCCCAAAGGATGAACTTCTAGCTGTGAGCAAGACCTATCATCCCTCCCCTCCCATGGTCTCTACAGCAGCAAGGAGATGCAACAGCCAGGTCTGAGGGCTGGATGACGCCTGTTCAAAATGTTATTTAGGGGTCTACATTCTTTGGCAGGGGTGGTGGAAAGGCAGGGCAGAAAATCAGAGTTAGGAGGGTGAGTGGTAATTTTTGGCTCCCTAGGCACAACAGTGGGATGAGGAGATTGGAGGAGTCACTCTGGCGCTTTTACATGGCTGAGGTCCTCTTCAACTGGTCTGTCCTTCATAAATATTTGGGTTTAGAGGGGAATTTCCCTTATGAAACCTTAGCTATCTAAAAAGTAGCATCTGAACCTAAGCCAGTCATCTGCAGAGGTGATAGGGACAGAAAACCTTAGTCTTCCAAGGGAGACAAGCTTCTTCCTGGAGATGCCTCTCTTCCCATTTGCTACAAAGAGGGTCTAGAAAACTCCATTGCAGGCAAGTGGAGGAAGTTCAAACATCCCACCCACCGTCCCCCGAGAAGTTTGACCTAAGTGACACTAACACAGCCCAAAGCACAGATGCCACCACTTGTGGCTCGCTGAAGAAGCACATGCCACCCCAGTTTTATCCTTTAGGAAAGCTTGAGGCTTTTCCCATCTAGTGACAACCTGCTTAGGTAGAAACAGAGCCGCCTACCTGAAATATCCCAGGATAAGGACAGCAACTGTGAGGGATCCCAGAGAGATGGAGTATCCAACAGTATAAATCAAATAGAGGCGATCAAAGACCTCCTGCAGTACAAATGATGGAAAAAATAGCGTCACATTAGAACGCATCCTACTGCATCGTAACACAACCGTGGTAGCAGCACAGAGATTCAGGCTATCATAGCAGCTCTGGGGCTGGGAAAACCTTTAGCAATCACACTTGATGTCATCTTTTTGACATAAAAGCAGCTTGGAAAGCGGTATTCATCTTTCCTAATGATCGGGGGGTAGTCGGGATTTTTGCAAGGGACTAGTGATGGAGTTGGGTTAATCCCATGCCTGGGAGTTTTGCAGCATTTTCATCCCAAAGGAACCCAAAGCGCTTTACAAACTCTCAGCCAAATCCAGAGATCACTTGGCAACTTTTGCTTGAACAAAATGCCCGCTGACCTGGGATTTTTGCTGGAACTGTAAAATTTAGCCATAAGGCTATGCCATACCATTGCTGAATGACTGATGTCCAGGCTGGTGGAGTGTCAGCCCACCATGGGGAGGATATACTTTGGCTGCGGGACATGAGAAAAAATCACCTGCATTCATTTTTCTTCTTTAAAATCAAAAGCAGCCTATGACTGCAGTAATCCAGTCCAGACACAACTTTAGCTTGCCAAAGTCCCATTGGAAAAGGCCCTGTCACAGGAGAGCTCATAGTAATTAATACTGTAGGAGGTTTTAGTTCTCTTGGCCCTCTGTCTTTTAGAGTTGGGCTTAGAAACCGTGAGCTTTCTGTTAAATATCGAGATGCTTGTCTTCATCCTGTGCTGGGGCATGCAGCTTAACTCAGGAATTACTGAACATCTGCTTGAAAAGGGTTAAAATGCCTGCTACCATTCTAGTTTGTACTGCCTTTCATTGCCTGAAATTAGAAATAAACCCTGAAGAAACCAAGCAATTCAGCATCTTTCTCCTCGTTCCCTCCTCCCCTGTCTCCCGCCTTTCCCTCACCCCACCCGCTGGGTTGCAATAACATTAGTAAAGCTGGGCTCTGAATGACAGCTCTGATTTTGATTTGAGGCTAGAAACGCTGTCCTGGAATGCGAAACCTCAGCCCTGTTACATCAGAATCCCCAGATATGTGAATGTTTCTTTGCGGTAGAGTGGTGTGCTTGCCAATATTAATCTAGTGTGTGTGTATGTACTTTAAGAGCTTTAGGGGGAAAAAAAAACCCCAGCTCCTTGCCTTCAAAGCCTGGTGTGCTTTTCCCACTGCCAAGCTGGAATCCTCTTTGAACTGGAAGACGTTTGCCTCCATGGTGAACATTTAAAATCCTACTCCAAGTTTAGGATTCCTGGTAATTGGGCAGTTGGGAGGCGTTACCATGCCCAGCTGAACAAAAGTGTCCCTGAGCCCCATTCAGAAATTTAACCGGAAAGATCCACGTTCCTATCGGACAACGCCACCGTTGTGGCAGCAATGGTCTTGGGAAGGGCCTGCCGATTGGCTGGCAGGACGCTTTCGGAGGCTGTGGTTAATTCCTCTGATTAACCACAGGGCCTCTTTTTGAAAGGATGTTGAGTCAGAACTGCCAAGACATACACATACATGCACGCTGGTTGTGCCTGCTTGCAGACATAGGTGCCACAAATCTTACTCGGTGGTGTGATGAGGAGCCTTCAGGGAAGGTGATTTTTTGGCTGGGGTGCTTAGATCCTTGGGAAAAGCCTCAGCAGCAAAAGGTTGAGGTTCTCCATAAGGCCACACAGGGCAGCCCTTGGGAGGGCAGCTCATGCTTGCTAGTTCCCAGGAGTGTTTGTCCTCAGGAATGGTGAGACTTGGATTTACCCAGGAGGGAAGAAAAAAAAAAAAAAAAAGCTCTAAAGGTAATTCCAGGTCTCACTCATCTCCTAGCACAAGGGAGGCCCCAGCTCAGTGGAAACCGCAATGCTGTATCAGGAAAGGTCCTCCAGGTAACAAAATATTGAGTCATCTGCCAGCTGAAACAACCACCTCCATGGTCTGAGAACTCTCTTTTTGGAGCTAAGAGGGATGGGAGTTTAAATAATTCACAGAAGACCACAAAAGTCATGCATCCAAGCCATGGACACAAACTGGACCTCCATAGTCTCAAGATGGTGCACTACCTACTAGACCGTCCCACTACAGCAGGAACTCTACCTGATGTCTCTCATAAATCCACCCTGAAGACAGACTGACCATCACTGGTCATCCCCTGACCTGTTGGAAGAGGAAGCCCACCCTTCAAAAATCTGGCCTTGCCACACCATGAGACCCTGGTTTAAAAGGTGTGATACTTTAACCAGTGTCATTGAATTTGACTCCTGAAGTAGTCCTTCACCATTTCAACTGTTGCCACGTGTGCACTGAAAAAAAGAAAAGCTAAAATAAAGCTAAAGGAAAACCAGAAGGACAAAACCTCAATATCTATGATTCCGGGGGCTGGGATTATGAGCAAAATATTGTAAAACTCACAATACAGTACCAAGATTAGGGAACATTGGTTTAAAAATTGGTGTCTCTGAATGTTGCCCTCTGCTCACTCCATCCCATGCCCTGCTTGGATGAGAAAATCATAGAATCATCTAGGTTGGAAAAGACCTTTAAGATCATCAAGTCCAACTGTTTCAGCAAGTCCAACCATTAAATGATGGGGAAGGTGTGGGATGGATCTGATCCCCCCTTTCTTCCCATTTCTTACAGCTTTCCTGTGCTTCTTGCATCTGCCATCTCCCTAAGGAGTACCCAACTTGTCCCCTTCCCCTGCCAACAGGGCCAGCAGAAGAATGCTCTGGAGGCCTTCCCTTCATGTGGCTGAGGCAGTCATGATTACTTCTGGAGGGTTCTGGGCAGGATGAGGCCTCCCTGATGTGGCTGGTTTTGAGGTTGGTGAAAGGACTTCCCATCAAGTCATGCACAATGCATCCTCTCTAGGTCATGCTCTATGATGCTCTCAGGCAATGCCCAGCCTCAGGGCACTTCTTTTCCCCCATCCTCTCTGGCCACACATTGCAAAGCTCCACCAAACCACAGCCATCTATCTTGTATAGCCAGGTGAAATGATTTGTCTGCAGCGAGCAAGCCCACCTGATTCTGCCTTCCTGACCTCACTCCAGCCATAACTCAGAGACTGACAACAGACTGAACTGCAAAAAAATATAAGTACTCTTTCAGATGTATTGCGTGCTGAACGCGTAACAAGATCTCCCTTTCCTCCTCCCTCTTGGTTTGGTGGGAGACTTCCTCTCTGCTCCCCTTTGCATCTCAGCTTTCCACCAGCCTGACCTCAGGGTAGAAACTTCACGGCAGCCTAGTGGCTTTGGGAGAACAGGAAAGCAAAACAGAGCTGGAGATGGCTTCTGCACGAACCCAGAGAGTGCATGGAAAAAACAAAATAAACAAAACCTAGCCACCATGGGCATCCACGGGCTGGATGTACCCTCTCCCACAAGGGTCCCTGCATTCCTGACTCCCTGCGGTTTGGATGTCTTCCAGGTGTGTGACCCTCAGAGCAGTTGGCTGTTACATTTTCATACTGTGCTCAGGGCTTAACCCAACTCCTAATTTGTCCACTTCCACCAATGGGGAGATAATTTACATTGATCTGAATCCAGAGGAAAACTGCTTTCCTCTGCGGGACAGCTCACAGCTACATCAGAACACCAGGCATGGAGTTTTGAGGCCCCATCCATTGCAAAACCACGGCTGTGCTTTCACCCTTGTGTCGCAGCCAGCTGTAGGACAGTCTGTGTGAAGGGCATTTCTGCTCCCTCAGACTCTGTTATGGGTACATGGAGTTGGTCATAGTGGGTGTGGTCCTCTAATTTAGATGTCTATGGTGTGGATGGCTCCATCAGAGCTGGCTACCTGAGGTGCCAGCAGCAAGAAGGGGTGCTTTAGGCTGCAATTTGCCTATTTTAATCACAGGATGGTGCCCTCAGCCACCAGCTGCATTGACTGAGTTGTCATGAGTCATAAAATCACAGAATCGTTCAGGTTGGAAAAGACCTTTATGATCAAGTCCAACTGTTAATCTAACATTGCCATCCCACCACCAAACCCTGTCCCTAAGCAATTGAGGCCAGGGTCATTAGCTCAAATAGAGGTGTTTGCATTCATATAGTGATTCCTGTCCAATTGAGTCTCAGATAAGAGGTCTAGTAGGACTCAATACAGTTGTCCTGATATGTGTCTCATAATTTTAGACACCCAAGTGTTCTGTCTGGCTTCAAGCTGCTTTTACAGAAGGGAATGAGTTTCCTGTAGGTCCCACGTTGTACCTGCAGTTCCTGTGCAGTTGCCTCGAGTAACCTAGGACATCTCATTTGGCTCTGGGCATAAACATAACCCATGTTCCAGCATCTGGATGAAACCTCCAGGGCTTTGGTGTTGATGTGTCCTGTTCCCTTCCACCGTCACAGGGAGGGACGCGGGTGACTGAGACATGTATTTTCTAGGTGGCTGGTGGCAAACCCCATTCCGCATATCGTTGCACTGTGCCCTGTCTCCGACTTTCTCCTTTCATCCTTTTTCTTTACCCTTTTGTGAGACAATGGCAAGACACTGCAACATTTAGGTCAAGAGGCTGAAATGGATCCAGTGGTCTTCTGAGGGGTTGGCAGGCTATGTTGAAGGGTGGGATTAACAGTATATGAGGATGGAAGCATATGTAAGGGCGTTCCAGATCAAATATCTGCAAAGTTTCTCAAAGCTGCTGATTCAGATGTTGTCAATGACATGTTTGAAATTATCAGGGGAAGTATTTTACTGCTCTGAATGATAAGCAATGCCAGAAAGCCTCTGTCACTTGCTCCACTCCCTGCTTTTCTTGTCTTTTTTTTAAAATAAAAGATGTGACTAAAGAAAGCTTAATGGCAGGGAGAAGGGACATTTGCAAAAGGCACAAAACAGTCACAGATTTCCAAAGCCTAAGGGAAATCACTGAGTGTTGAACATGACTTTTTGCTACAGAATTTGCTTCCCCTCATCTACAGAGGTGACAAGCACTGGACACCCACCATCTGGATAGAGACTGGGGTCAGCTCTCAGACTAAGGCACCCCAACTTA